GAAAAAGGGGTTTAGATTCTCCTATGAATGTGCAAACGTAGTTCTCCTGAGAAGGCTGGCTAAGGACTTCTGCCTCCAGGGTAAGGAAAGGAAGTTGTTGTGCAGAAGTGTTCTTTAGGAACAGCGGACAAAAGAAATGCGAGAGACAGTATGAATTTGTAGCATATAGTATATGCTAAAAGGATGGCTGTTAGACTGAACTACTGCCTGGCACCACCCTTCTCAAGAGATACGTGCCTTTCCGATGTAATCCAGTCTTGCTGACATCAGTGCTTAAACCGTGATTTAAATCACCAAAATGTAAAGTCAGTATGGCAAAGAATAGTGAAGAAAAGCACCCCTGTAGATGTCTCTTTTTTATTATAGGTTTAGTTGAGACTTTGTCTGTCTTTTTGTCCCTCTGAGACTGCAGAAAGTGGTAGTAATTTCAGTTGTCTAACTAGGTGGTCTCTAGACTTTTTTATTGCATACCCCTGTCAGTGAAAAAAACCCCAAACCCCCAATATACGTATGGGTTTTTATACATTATATACATGTACTACTCTGCTAATATATTACGTACAAAATACACAAATGTACACAAAAATAGAAATTTTAAAAGGATGACATAAAGATGAAATAAATGCTATTTCAAAAATATTATTTTATTAGTAGTACAAAATTTTCTTCCTGAACCCCAGTGGATTGTTGTGCATGCCACCTGGGGTGTGTGCACTCCACCTCCGAGACCACTGGTCTAACAGCTCCAGTTTCTCTAGGGGTAGTTTGTAATATAGGTTTTTGGTTACATTTACTAAGACATTGCAAGAGACATTTCATTGTGGCTGCTATAATTGTTACAGGATGTTACATGATATCAAAAATGAGGTGTAGCCTGTGTTGCTAGTATCCAGCCTGGGAGAGGAGATAAACAAGTACACAGCACACCTATACTGGTGATTGCTGTAGTAGGAAAAGGAATGAGCTCACCTACTTATTTCAAGACATTATCAGCTGGTAGATAACTTATTTTGGTACTAATCTGCAATTAATTTAATGCCTCAAATACAAGGAGTTAGGGTGAGCCAAATGTGAGTTTGAGCACTGGGTAGATGTTTGCATGCACTGTCTCTAGTTTGAACCATTTGTGGGCTGGAAGCAAGTAAACAATGTTCTCATTGTTGCCAGGCCTCCGGCAAGAGTACGCAGCAACTGCTTCTCGGCGTAGTTCTGGTTCGTCTTGCAATTCCACAAGGCGAGGCACGTTCAGCGATCAGGAGCTTGATGCACAGAGTTTAGAAGATGAAGAAGATGGCACGCACCACACAGTGCACCCTGCTGTTAACAGGTTCTCACCGTCACCTCGCAGTTCTCCCTGGCCTTCACCAAAACAATCTCCAAGGAATTCACCTCGCTCCCGATCACCTGCTCGAAGCATAGATTACAGTAGAGTGTCTCCCCAGCCTATGATTAGCCGTTTACAGCAACCTCGTCTTTCACTTCAAGGCCATCCTACAGATTTGCAGACTAGTAATGTCAAAAGTGAAGGTAAAAAGCTCTGTCTCAAAATAAGTACACAAGTAGTTCTGTAGTTCCTGTAAAGGATTTTGGTCAGTGTGCAGTGCTAAAACTATATGCCTGTGTAACATCATGGTTTCATCTCAGAGTTGTTGAAGAAAAGGCAGAGCAAGCAAAGCTTAAGTTCTGCTGGGGAACCCTTACAGTCAGATGAGTTGATAGGCTTATATTTATTTTAGATGTTATCCAGTCACTCTGGGTGTAACTGAGTTTCATGCTGACCGAGTTCTATCTTTGGCAGGCAAATGCACTAAAATAAAGCAGAGCCCAAGGGAAGCTATCATTCGCCAGTAGGGTTAGGCCTTGCAGTTAAACAGAATAAAATGCAGAGAACGTAACCGTGGCCAGATAAGAGTAACAATTTATGCATGCCTGTAACCTGTGAGATAGCTGAATGCTTTCTTCTGGCAGTGCAGGACTCTGCACGCTTCGAGCATGAACACAGCCTTAAAAATATTAGTACTTAAGTCATGCCTTTGTTGGATACTTTAGATATCTCAAAGCTGTGCAAACTGCTGCCTAATAAAACATAAAGCTTGCAGTAAACTTGACACGATTATACTATATTGGCATACAACAAAATATCCTGATAACGATTTTCCTTCTTGAATGTACTTTTTCCCTGTAGCAGTCTGGCAGTAACTCCTTTAATTGGGCTGAATTTTCACAAGCGTATTCCCATTTTAACAAATGTAGTTGTTACCTGGCTAATCAAATCTTAAATTCAGAAATAATATACATTTAGGTATTAAGAATTCACCTTTTTTTTTTTTTTTTTCATTTTTCAGGTAAGCTGGATGCAAAGTGTCAGCAGTAGAGCTGATGTAGAAATGCATTTTTAAAGAGTTTATTTTCTGGGTGTTTTTTCCCCCCAGTATAGCAAAGAGGTCTACGCCACTTACAGAATTTCATTGACTAAGAAATTTTAGAATTTTAATCAGAAAAATCAGTGTGCTAGGCTAGAGCTTTTGGGGAAGGTGATCCTGCAAATTTAATTAGCTCTTCAAGAATATCTTTGGAAGGATTAGCTCATCTAGTAATAGTGGTTTGGGGAAGTTTTAGGTATATAGGAAAATGTACAACACAAAAGCTAATCAGTTATATTGTGACTTAGTTGAGAATTCCTTTCCCATTCTGTTCTAGGGTTTCATTAAAGTCTTAGTGCGTGCTAGATGAGTTAAAACAAAAATATCCCATGAGAGGCAAGGTACCAAAAGCTGGTATCCCACATACCAGAGGGATCAAAATAGAGCATGCAATCACGTGTTTCTGAAACACTTCTAAGGAATTCTCTGGCTGTGGTTTTTGTGCAGTTGAATGTTGCTTGGATATTGAGAGTTGATATAGCAGTGGCCAAAAGAAGTTGTTTGGGATTTTTGTTTTTTTTTTTTCTCTTGAATGGTTAGAGGGAAATTTGGTTGGCAGGGTTCAACAATGTACCAAGTGCAATGCAAACTACTAAGTGCAGAAAGTACACTTGTAGGAATACTCAGCCTATGAAGACTCTGACTTTTGTTTTCATCTTCAGTGATTGTGCATGGTTAGCGTACTTCTTTCCTGCATTCCGCTACAGAATCAGGTTGGCCACTCACCCTGGCAAGGCATCTGTAGTCTTCTATCCAAAGTATGTCATCAACCCAGCTCTGCCTGGGTTGGCGATACATAGAATGTCATTAGACTTGGAAGAGATTTAATGGCATCTTTTTCTATTTTGTGAGCAATGGTAAAAATTTTAGAAGACCCTTGAAGAACCAGTATTAGCTGAATAGGTAGTCAAGTCATAGGTGAAAGATGAAGCGTAACTGGACTCTTCAACAATTTTGAATGCTGTGTGTGAAGAGTTTCTTTCCAAGCGAATGGCTGTTACTTGTTGTGTAATGTGCTGATGTGGGACTGGGTAGTCCCAAAAATTGACTCAAAAATTACTATGTGCTTATAATCTTCAGGGAAGCAGTCTGTATTATAAATAACCTTCTAGGTAAAGATTTCAGAAAGTGTGCAAAACTGCAAATTAGGTTTGCCTATTCAATTTCCATAACAGTGGAACAAAACCCAGAGAATCATAATCCAGATATGTTTCAATTTCAAAACATACTATGCTTGACCTTTTTTCACCACAGGTAAAAAAATGTACATTCTTGCTTTTTTATATAAATATTTTGTATATGATAGATCTGAGAATAATATAGGACTTTAATTCAAGATAATGGAAGAACTGTAATGTAACAAAATACTCTTTTAGATTGTAGTGTAGTTTTATATGGCTGGCATTTTGTGTCACTTAGATTTGAGGTTCAACTATAGGTTCATAATCTGAACTTTGTCCAGCACCAGACTACATGTGGTATATTTGTATTGTTTCATACAGAAAAACTAAGGCGTAGTCTTCCAAACCTGTCCAGGACATCTAACATCCAAGCTGAGTCTGTGAAAAACAGCAGAAGTGACTCAAACTTCCAAGTGCCAAATGGAGGAATACCTCGCATTCAACCTCAAGCCTCAGCCAGTAAGTACCTTTAGTGACACTTCAAGTGTGTATTTCAGAGTTGAGTGATGGTACTCAGCGGTCTTCCAGTTTCATGGCTAAGAGAAACATTGCATGTCACACTGGAGATGCTATTCTTGATTTTTAATCACATCTGTGTGAAAATCTGCTTTTTTGATACATAAAATCTGGTACTGAGTATATTCAAAGAATTCCTGATCTCTTATTAAGGTATCATTCATAATTTCCTAACAGCATATGTAGAAATACTATAATGCAAATACAATAGTGTTACACATTTCAGAAACCATTTATTTTCTGTGATTTACAGAAGATATAGTGCTTTGTACTGTTGAATTTTATTTTCAGACTACAAAAATTTACTAGGCTATGAAAATACTTACCTAGATGATGTTTATTGCTTTTTTTAAATAGCGAAACCTGATCTGAAATCATTCATGCAAGTTTAACCCTTGTTTGCAGTTTATTTTCTTCTTTTGTTTTGTCACCTGGAAATTATATATTCAGTAGCAGATTTTATTTACTTTTTTAAGTGTCAGTATTTCTCAGAAAAGGTTTGGATGAACCTGTGTCCCATGAAACAAATTAGCCCATTGCTGGGCTAGTGGCTGCTAGTTTGGCCAAAAGTGAACTCTACAAAAACTTACTAGGCTATGAAAATACTTACCTAGATGTTTATTGCTTTTTTTAAATAGTGAAACCTGATCTGAAATCATTCATGCAAGTTTAACCCTTGTTTGCAGTTTATTTTCTTCTTTTGTTTTGTCACCTGGAAATTATATATTCAGTAGCAGATTTTATTTACTTTTTTAAGTGTCAGTATTTCTCAGAAAAGGTTTGGATGAACCTGTGTCCCATGAAACAAATTAGCCCATTGCTGGGCTAGTGGCTGCTAGTTTGGCCAAAAGTGAACTACTGATGTGAGAACGCTGCTAATCTCAAAAGTCTCTTAAAAATGGTGACCTTAAAGAAGCCAAAGCAAATGAAACTTAAATATTCACTGCTTCTTTATATGTCAATATTGACAGTTCCTGTTGTTTAATGTTTCCTGGCCATTTTATTTTAAAACAAGTTTCAGAATTAATACTCTTGTGTGACATTTTGAAGGGAAGAACACATTATGAAAATTATTATGTGTAGACCTTTGAACTATAAAAGTTCTATGATAAGTGTTCATCAGTAATCTAAATATTTGATGGGAAATGTAATATTTGTGAATGAAACTGATTTTTTTTTTACCCGTTGAACAGTAAAGGCATACTGGCATACCTAGTTGGCCTTGTTAACGAGTCCTTTCAAAATAGTGTGTTAATGCAACCAAATACAGTTGAATATGGAATAAGGAATACAGACCATGCCAATGACTACAAGACTTCTGTCTTTGTAGTGACTCAGACCAGGTGTAAGGCTTGTGTGGACAGTCAGTCCCAGTTGTGTGATACTGCCAAAGAAGTAATGTGACCTTGTGATTGTTCATACCAGTTACCCCCGCATCCTTTCACCTTGCCCCCTTCTTTCAGTCTTCACAAATGCTCAGAAGGTGGGATTTACAGCTGAAAGGGCCTGTGTGTAGTTCAAATGCAGGACTGTCATCTGTTAGGCAGGCTTATCAAACTGTAAAGCACTTGGAGCAGTTGGACCGCAGCTCTCTAACTGTGTTATTTTTGTGATGGGAAGAATAACCAAAATGACCTGAAAGAAAATGAAGGAAAAAATATTTTTAGTAAAAATCTGTACAGATTTTATTTGGTGTTTTAAAATTGAGTGAACTGGGAAGGGAAGAGCACAGAGGGCAGCTTAGTTGGCTAAGAAGGCTATTTCCAGTATTAAAAGTGTATTCACAGTGAAACTTTATGGAAAGATCAGACAGCGGAAGTCTCAATATTCAATATTTAGTGAGTTACTTCATTGTGGGAGCCAAAGTAGTGTGACTTATGTTTATTCATATATAATTTTTTGCAACTTGTGGATGGATTGAGAATCACAGAAATTATTAGGTAAATTTGCTTGCCTTTCATGGGAATCTTTCCCCAAATGTGAACCACTTTAGACCAACTTACATTTACATGTAAGTTAAGTATAATTAATTAAAGCCCAGATTTCTAGCTTTTACAGTTTCCCTGCTCTTACAGATGTTTGTCAGAGTCTTGCTATTGACAATCGTAAAACGGTTTCTGTATGAAGTCAATGAGTAAGTATCTTTGCTTAGTCTGGATTAAAAAAATTTCTGCAAAACTGTACATTGTATAAAAATTTCCAGAATTGTGTCCTTTTTATTGTATACTTTTTGGTTTTTTGGTTTTATATTTTGTCACCTTGCACAAAGCACTCTTAAATTGCAGCAAATTTTTGTTTTCCCTTGGCAATGACTTCTGGGTCTTAGGATTCAAAGCTTCCTCATATACCTGCTAGTTTTGCATGAGCTTACCTTTGCAAGGATGCTGGCTTGCCACCCAAGGTCACTACCTTTCTCCTTGTCAAAGATCTGCTGTTCACCATTTACTTGCACATTTGCTGTGGCTGCAATACTGAACTTGCTATGGTTGCTGGCATTCAAAAATGAGTTAGGAATCCAGTAAGTTTCTGAAAAGACAATTTCTGTTATGGTTACATAGGTAAATTGTACACGCTTGCTTAAAGAGTAGAGGGAAGATACTTATAATATGTTTAGAGTTACAACTGTAAAACATGAAAACATTTGACATTTTCAGTTTTAGCTGTAATGTGGTGAAAAATCCAAATTCTTTTTGAAAAGAGATTGAGTGAATTAAATAGTAGTTTTAAGTATTAGAATCTTCATTTACATCCGCCTCTCCATGCCGTTATGCAGAAAGTACTTTTTTATATGAAAGCTATCAAATATTTCACCTTAAAACACTGGAAGATACAGCAATACTTGTGTTCTCCAAGGAATAGGTATCTTTTAGACTTTAAAGTATTAGAACGACAGGAAGTCTCTGTATTCACGTCCTACATCACATAGATTTTGCAAAGCTGTAGAACTCCCAGGGTGGCTTCCACACAGGAGCTACGTGCTTTCTAGTGGATTGTGTGTGATACTTTTGTACTTCTCTGGCACCGTTACCACATGAATGTTAAATCTCTAAGCAGAGTTAAATATAATACTTTTTCAAAGAGCCAAGCTGTAAGTTGTTCAAACTGTAAGTAAAGTAACTAGTCTGCTTGCCAAGATCCAGCTGCTTGGCCTGTTCAGAGCAAAAGAAGAAAGTGTGTGTTTTGAGGAAACAGAGTATTCCAATTCGCTTGATTAGAAGTAAACGTAACTGTGTATTCAGCATATTCAGTGTGCCATTTGTGGCAGGTAATGTAATAGCATATGGAGCACTTCAAGAGCAGCAAGTAGTGTGGATAAAGCATACGCTCCACGCTTATCTCAAGCTGCATGTTTCCTCAGCATTGCTCAAATTGCACTGCCTGAAGTTCTTTTCAGTGATTCAGTACACATAATTGTTTAGCTATTGAGTCTCTATTTCCTGGAGTCTCAATTGAGAAGGAAAGAATTTGACATACATATTTTTTAAATCCTTTCCATATCATCCCACATCTCTGACTTGCAAGTAGCATAAATAATGATGGGGGAAGAAACTTAGTGCCCTGTGCAGTAGCATATTTAAAACTAACTGAATGAATTAGGGCAAACTAAATTCAAGGTCATAAATATGAAGGAAGAAGCTGTTCTTGATTTTGTGTGGTATAACAAAAACACTGATTCAGTAAAAAATGGTATAATGGAATACTTGTGGACAGAAACACTCTGGCCAGTGGTCTGCCTCACTAAATTCCTAGGAATTGTGCTCATTTTTAAACATCTTACTGTGCTTAATTGGCTGTTTATGGGTATGCCTTAAAAAAAGTTTATAGCAAGACCATGTGCCAGAAGTCGAGAAAGAATTGCCTATTGCCACATGCTTTTTTGCATTAGATTCTAGCTGGTAGAAGGAATAGGGTTTTTTATTCTTACTAGCCACAAGCAGCATTTTATCACGTTTATAAACATTTTAATTCCTTTTTGCTGTTTGTTGAAAATGACAAGTTTTAGTTAGTTACTAAGACTAAAATGAATAGACCACCTAGTCATATTTTCAGAATGAAGGTAAAACACATGATGAACTTCTTTTATAGTTCACAAAATACTGTGAATTTTGCACTGACTGAAGGATAGGAAAGGTGATGGCAATTATACGCTATCAAGTTTAGAAAAGGATTAACTAATATTGTTAGGATTCTAATTGCTCTTCCCCTGCCTTCTTTGTAGTGATATTCACCAATTGCTGACAGGATTACTGAGCTTTCTTACTCAGGGTGAGGATCTTTCTGCACAGCTCTTCCCCCATCTTTCTTCCTTCTCACTATGGAAATAAGCCTTGCTAGTGCAGTTTTATGCTGGTGTAAAACTCCATACGCTGAGGTGAGCAGAGATGTTACTCATACCTTATCATTTTAAGAAGCCTTTCTGTAGGCAAAGCTTTGTTTCATTGACCAGTTCCCTCCTTCACCCCCTTAAATATGCTGTGGTGAAAATATGCTGAGTCGATGTGTTCCTTCTGGCAATAGGTAATTCTCTCCTTGCCAAGATTCTGCAGCTCTTGGAACATTGGCTTCTCTCTTGGTAACTGGTAGGTAGTGAGGTCATTTCAAGGCAGTATCAACCCTTGAACATTACTAGAAAAAAGGCAGGACACAGAAGCAATAAAAAAACAATTTTTGTCATGCTGTCTATATGCTGGCAGCTGATAATTCTTAGCGTTATGTCTTTGTTTTAAGTTTGAGTCCTCTTTCATACCTTTTGAGGGGGAAAACCCCAGACATCTCTCAAAATGGCTTATGTTTGCGTAACTGAAAAATATAACTTTTGATGGTTGATCACATTTAGACAAAGATTTATGCTTTTGTATAGTGTTAGAATATTTTTTGAAAACTTTAAAATGAAAAGTTTAGTCTTGCTAGGTCAAATATGACAGTTTAATTTTCATCTTCGT